TTGGTGGCGTAGCAAAATGTAAAGATATATCATGGTAAATATAATACAGTTTTGCGCTTAACAACAAACAAAGAAATGGAAATGTATATAAACAAAAGCTTCAAATTAATTTCGCATTTGGTGAGTTACTGCGTTGTAATAAATAAAAAAAAATATTAACACTAATCATTTCAGCTAACTGAAGGCGAGTATATTATAATTTCTCATCACATTACTAGGCCTAGATTTCCAGATAACGTTTGGTGTTAAAACTTGTTTTTACCATCTGTAAAATATTATATGTAGCATCTGAAAGAACTGTTTTCAAGTGCTAACAACCTTCGTGCACACCACAAAATAAAATCACTATTACTTAACAACTCTGGAAAAAGGTAAAAAACGACTACTTACCAAACGACTTAGTAAGCTACAGAATAAACATTGGTCCAAACCAGGCGTGACACCTGTTGGTGTAAACACGAAATATCAACGATTGTTTCTTTGCTTTGTTTTAAAAACTGTAAAATGACATTTTTCTTAAGTTTCTAAAAATTAAATAATATCGAACTACGATAGTACATATTTATTGGTAAATTATTAGCATTCTACACAAAGGTGAATGCCTGTCGATAGATGTGTAATAGAAAATTACGATCAAGATTTTATTTAGACCTATCTATGGCCTTCAAAAAGTTTTGTTTTACACTATACATTAAAATGATGTGTGACTGAAGTTTGTTATTATTTTACTGGTGCAGAAGCAGTGAATGCAAGAATTCATGATTTTTCTCTGTATTAGTAGTTTCTAAAAGTAATAATAAATTTAAAGTAATTTTATTCCCAGTATTTTCGTGCTACAGGTCAGTGGAAATTAAATGTAATGTTTTTGTTTATTTGTTTGTTTTATTAGTATAACAAATGTTTCACAGTTAGTTGTAGAATTTTTCCCCTAACTTCATATTCACGGATTCTAAAGCCATTTGTTTTCTCAAGAAACTATGAAGTTCTATCAATCACCGACAGAGCACTCTGAAAATACAACCAAGTTCTTAATAAATAAATAAAATCTGAATGTAGCCATTAACTTGTGGTTTAAAAATAATAAACCCAGAATTAGTAGGCTTAGAAATACATATTATTGAAAAATTCAATTATATATATATAACATACGTGTAAAACAAACTATAGAATATTTCTTATGGAGATGAATAAAGTGCCACTAAATATTAGGGTAACAAAACGTTAAAAGTTGGCGCAAAGCTACAAAAGGCCTAACAACGCTTGGAGACGGCTTGAATGGTTAATGAAGAAAAACTTTAATATAAGTTTAACGTAACAGCAAATGTACAACGTTTCGACAAAGTTTTGTCACAATCAAATCTACATAAGGTCTATCTAAGCTGGCCGTTTCTAATTTAGCAGCGATAGACGAGAAGGAACACCGCCAACTCTTGAGCTACTTTTTTATTAACCAATAGTGGGATTAATCGTGACTTATAACGTTCCCATTACTTAAAGGGCGAGCATGTTCGGTGACGTGGATTCGAACCCACGACTCTCAGATTGCGAGTCGAGCGCCTTAACCACCAGGCGATGCCAGGCCTAATAAAAATAGAAAAGATTCATTTAAGTTGTTAATATAAATATAATTAGGCTACCTTTTATGTCAAATATACAAACTTCGAACTGATCGAGACCTCCTAAATTGTTAATACAAATATAATTGTTTGTTTGTGTGTAGTTAAGCGCATAGCTACACAATGTGCTATCTGTGTTGTGCTCACCATGGGTATCGAAAACCGGTTTTAGCGTTATAAGCCTTGAGACTTACCACTTTGCCACTGGGGGAAATTTAAATTACGGATGTAACTTACTATACAGGAACATTATCAAGCTTTTAAACAAGAAGTTACGGTAACATCTTTTATAGATATACATCATCAAGCATTTAAACAAGATGTTACACGATCTGATGTAGAGGTTCATTACCACACTCTTAAGCAAGCTGTTACCGTAACATCTAATATATAGTTACATCAACACAACATCTGTCGGCAGCTTTTAATACAGTTGTTTATTAATCTCAGCCTGTTATTTAAAAAATAATGTTATTTGAAAAGTGATTTTTATTCGACTATTGATTAAACGTATAACTCTAACGTTAATCTTGTTATTTAATATAATATTATTACAACAATATACTATTATAATTGAAGGGAAGAGAGCCTGTTCTTTGGCCGGTATTAAACTCCTCCAACGTGTAAGCCAAATCAAATATGACTAATATATTGTTTAAAATTCAACAAATAAACCTTCACACTAAATGTAATATATTTTTTAACATTCAAGAAATAAAACTTCACACTAAATCTCATATATTGTTTAACATTCAACAAATAAAACTTCACAATAAATCTCATATATTGTTTAACATTCAACAAATAAAATTTCACACAAAAATCTCATATATTGTTTAACATTCAACAAATAAAACTTCACATAAAATATTTATGAGTCCTTAGATAATTATAAAAAAAAGCCCTCTGTGTGTTTCTAGATTGAGAACAAGCATTTGGTACAATATCACAACAAAATGGAAATTCCTGGGATAAGATGCATTACCTTAAAATGGTTTAAATCTTATTTATAAAAAGCAAAACATTACAAAAATAATAAATTTAATGATGGTAATGTAATAAAGATGGTGTTCCGCGGGGTTTTGTTCTCGAATACTTATTTTCATAACATACATCACTATCCATGTCATCTAAATATTTGCTGATGATAAGTTTTAGATCTGCTAGTATCGAATAATTAAAAATCTATTTGGAAACAGAAAGAAAAATGTTTAACAAAAGTATTTATTGATATAAACAAAACAAAAAATATGTTTTTAAATCAAAAATAAATTTAAAATAATTCTAAGTTTTCCATTCATAATAATGGGAGTGTAAATAACGATAATTGTTTGTTTGTTTTGGAATTTCGCGCAAAGCTACACGAGGGCTATCTGCGCTAGCCGTCCCTAATTTAGCAGTGTAAGACTAGAGGGAAGGCAGCTAGTCATCACCATCTACCGCCAACTCTTGGGCTACTCTTTTACCAACGAATAGCAACATTATAACGCCCCCACGGTTGAAAGGGCGAGCATGTTTGGTGGGATGCGGATTCGAATCCGCGACCCTCAGATTGTGAGTCGAGCGCCTTCTCCACCTGGCCATGCCGGGCCTAATAATTGTAAGTGTTGGCAAATTGATATAATAGATTCTACAAAATATTTAGGCTTAAAAATTCCAGTTTGAAACAGCATGTTAATGATATGGTAAATGCATAATATTTGTATTAATTAAAATGTGTTGTTTGAAAAAAGTTCTAAGCGTTCATATGTTAGGAATTATTTATTTCTCGTACAGTTTAGATTTTTTTTTAGGGGGAAGGGGCTTCACCAGCTATATTAAACCAGATTGTTTCATCACATAGTGATATAAAAATAATAATTTATAAAATATATATATTTTTTACATTAAAATATTCCTGTGAAATATTTATGTATAAATTATAAAAGTTATTACTTGTAAATGAAAATATGATGTTTATTCTTACAGAATACGGGAATTACATCATGAAACTCCAATAGTTAAAAGTATATTATGCGTAACAATGTTTGTTATTTAGAACCAAAAATAATTAATCGGTAATAAAGTGAGTTATTGTTGTTGTAAGTAAATAATGTGATATAGGTGCTAAATAATTAATGTTATCAACCTAAATGAGCTTAGAAAACGCTTCGGTTACTTATAATTCAATTTGTGTTGTAATGTATTGTGTTTATGATATGCTTTTAATTGTATTGTATCAACAATAATAGTAATTCAATGTGTTCCTAATACAACGAACAATAAACAGTTTAATTTGTGCAAATTCAATAAAATGTATAAACGAAAAACACACACCCTGTAATGAGGATTTTTGGCCCTTCGTGGGTTAGCAATAAGTCTGGGAACTTATAAAACGCTGAAACCTGGGGTTGGGTTCCCCGCGGTGAACAGAACCCAGATAGCTTATTGTGTAATTTGCGCTGAAAGAAAAACAATAAAACAACCAGTGTTTGTTTCTTCGACGGAGGGGTGGAGGATCGGGATACATTAAGAATTATAAT